CGTCTTCACATTTGATCTCCCAGCCACTGAGGCTGCTCTTTGTGAGTGACAAAGACCTAGATTTTTGCACGTGTTAGAAGCGGTGGCACGCCTGCGGTCCCAGCCCCCACCCCACCCCGGAAGACTGAGGCAAGAAGATCTTTGCAGCCCCAGAGTTCAGGGCTAGCCTCGCAACTCCACCTGGAAAACAGTTTTTATGAGGCTGGGGAGACGGCACAGTGATTAGAGACATGTACTGCTCTCGCTCGCCGAGAGTCCAAGTTCAGTTCCTAACACCCGTGTCAGGCATCTCACAGTTGTCTGGAACACCAGCTCCAGTGTCTTACACTCCTGTCTGGCTCCTGCAGGCAATGTCACGCACGTGACACACACACACAATATTCACATAAGTAAAATGATAATAAATGTTTTTAAATTATTTTTATTGTTTGTAATTTTATTATCTTCTGGATATTCAATAGACTCAATGCTATATATTTTCAAGCTATTTTCCATCTGCATATACTTGCTGCAGTACTATACCGTCTTAGACTCAACATTATATATTTTCAAAGCTATTTTCCATCTGCATATTCTTGCTGCGGTACTCTATTGTCTTCATCACAGCTGCTTTTGAAGTACTGATGTCTCCCAGTGAAGGCACTCCGGCTTTGCCTTTATATTTTCTTAGCAGTTCTTGCCCTTTTATGCTTCTGTATAAATTATAGAACCAGCGTGTCACTTTCTACAAGAAATCCTGGTAGGATATTGATTGGTAGTTCATTAGATCTGTTGAGATCGTTTTGGAGGGAGCAGTAACTGGCCCATAAATACAGGGATTGCTTCCATTTATTTAGTTTATTTTTCAGCATATCGAGAATGTTTTATAGATTCCTTGTAGATTTTTTTAACATACCTTTTGTCCAATTTTTTCTCAGCTGTTTGAACTAAATAAAATTGCTTTTGGGTCAGCAAGACAGCTCAGCAAATAAAAGGGCTTGCCGTGCAGTCCTGACGACCGGAGCTCAACCCTGAGAAGTCGGGGAAGAAGAGAACAGACTCCTGAAATTCGTCCTGTGGCCTCCACACAGCACACAAAATAATTGTAACTAAAAGAGAAACTGCTTTTAACTTCTGTAATAATTGTTTGTTGGTGGTATGTAAAAATAACAAGTGTCCTTTTTTCTTTTAGCTGTGAAGACATGATTTATTCCCACTGGAATCTGGTGAGGACATGAAACATGTAAAGTTAGTGTGTATATAAAATGTGCTGTGTGCTGGCCAGAGAGAGAAGGAAGGCAGGAACAGTCATCTCTACCAAGGGGAGGAACAGCCATTCCTACAGCTCGAGGGTTGCTCAAATACCATTCAAAGACTACCATCTGCAGCGACATGTGTCACTCAAACTGAGCGCGTGGGTTGAGAAGATGGTTCAATCACTAAAGCGCTTGCTATGCGAGCTTGGAGACCTGGATTCAGCTGACTGGAACCCATGTTTAAAGTCCTGGTGGGTGGGCAATGCTTTAACCTCATTGTTGAAATGGGCTAAGGCAGAGACAGGAGGATTCCTTAAACTCATTGGCCAAACAGCCTAACTGAATCAATGATCTTCAGGTGAAAAGAGAAACCCTGGCTCAAAGAAAGCCAGACCAGGGACGGCGGGGGCAGGAACAACAGAGAAAGGTGGAGAGCGAGGGGAAAGGCACCAGTTTGGCCTCCAGTCATACACACACACACACACACACACACACACGCACGCACACACACACACGCACGCATGCACACGCACGCACACGTGCGCGGTGCACACCTACCTCTGAATATGTAACACCACAGCCAAACAAGGACATTCTGTGAGCTCTCCAGAAATTCACCCTTCTCTGTGCTCAGAAGCAAACTGAATTTGTAGCCCGCAATTTGGAAAAGAAAAACAAAGTACTTTGTATCTCCCTGTCTCAGAATCCAGGAAAGCCGGTCTCTTTAGCAAACAACTAAGATCCATTTTAGTTTAGAAGTAAATCATTCAATAGAGACATTTTATACTTTTTAAATAATGATTAGAATTAGTACATTTATATTTTTTTCTATTCTTCTTGATGTGGTTCTTTTTAAAATGCATGCTTTACAGTAATTTCATCAGTATAAAATTTTAAAAACCTAGACGTTAAAGGCTGGCTGTGGTGATGGACACCTTTAATCTCAGCAATGGGGAGGCAGAGACAGGCAGATGTTTGTGAGTTCAAGGCCAGCCTGTTCCATTTGGCAAGTTCCAGGCCAGCCAGGGCTACAGAGTGAGATCCTGTACTGGCAGGTCCACAGCATTCTGCAGTTGCGACTGGGATTTACATTCTCTAAAATGGGTGAAAGCTCTCTCTCCTCTCCAAATTCAGAGAACCTTGGATAGGGCACAGTCGGTTTCACCCAGTGGCCTTGGAGGGAAACGCTGGCTCTTGGTAAGTCTGTTTCCATAAGAGCTCCATCTGGGACCCATGACTGCTCCTTCTCTTTCCAGGAGAGAAATGTGGGCGACCCAAAGCATCTGCATTCAAGCCACGGGTGAGAGTCTCATGGAAGCTGCGGCATGGAGGCCACTGTCTTTTGTATCTCTAACATAGTACCTGGAAGCCTTGTGAAATCAATGAATCAATTCCAGTAGCTGGTATATAGACTAGTGTGGATTTTACACACACACACACACACACACACACACACACACACACACAGTCTCTCTCTGTCTCTCTGTCTCTGTCTCTGTCTCTGTCTCTGTCTCTCTCTGCAGTGAGGTTTGTTGGCAGGTACCTACTGCAGCCTTTGCCCAGGGCCTGGGGCACAGGCAGCAACAGAGAGGTCAGGTGCAGAGGAAGCCTCACCTCACGTGACTGCAGCTTAGAACCTGTAGGTGAAGGGGCAGAGGCCTAGTGGGAGGGTCTGGGAGTTAAAAGAATTCGGATTAGGTTAGGTTTAGGCAGCAGTTGGCCATTGTTGGAACCTGAATTCCCACTGGAGGGAAACTGGGTAAAAATGAGCACCAAGGACAAAACTACAATTCGAAATCTTAGAACAGAGTGAGCACCCGTGCCCCAGAGGAGGAGGCTCTGCTGGCTAAATGGAGGAGGTCAGGGTTTTGTTTCATTTTTAAATTAATAAACTAATACTTCAATTTTTTTTGTTTTTTTTTTTGGGGGGGGGGTTCAAGACAGGGTTTCTCTGTGTAGCACCGACTGTCCTGGAACTTGCTCGATCTACCAGGCTGGCCTCGAGCTCACAGAGATCTGCCTGCCTCTGCTTCCCGAGTGCTGGGACTAAAAGTGTGCGCCGCCACCACCTGCATACTTTGAATTTCTAATACAGGTTCTCACATAGCTCAGGATGGCTTGTAACTTGCTATGTCACCAAAGAAGACTTTGAACTCTTGACCCCCTGCTTCCATCTCCCAAGCCGAGGTGGCGGGCAGGCGGGCACCACCATGCCCCAACAAGCACAGAGCTACAGAAAAAGGTGAAACAATGAACAAGAAGCTGAGTGGATGTTTCAAATTCCTCCTAAGGTGCAGACCGGGAAGCTAAACACTAGGAAACTGAGCGTTGGCATCAGGTTTCTTTAGGTTACCTTCTCTCTGCAGCATTGGGAGGAGAGCGCTTGGGTGTCCTGCCAACTGGAACTGGCCTGCGTGTGGAACTTGGCTGCAGCTTCTCGTTTCTCCTGTTTTCTTGGAAGGTCTGACCACAGCTCACATTCTGTTTGGTGACGTGGAACTTTGGCAAGGGTGACACTGTTTTTATTTCAGTCCGAACTCCTGCATGAGCCTGGGAGAAGCCACCCCTGCGCATCAGTGTTCTCGGGCCTCTCACTATCTAAAAGCCTGTGGTGACTCCGGGCAGCCTACAGAGACAGCTTCGTTTTCTAAGCCCTGAACGCCATACTTCCCTCCACCCCACACTGCCTCCCCCGCCACCACCCCAGCAATCTGTGTTCTGGTTGTTGAGCTCACAAAGCCACAGACAACACCTAGTTAGCAACGGCCGGGTCTCATTTCCGCTGAACAACCTGTAGGGCGGATCTTATACCCATCTCTGCTCAGGGAAGCTACCCACGGCCTGGAAGACACCACCTCCTGTGTGCCCACCAGAGTACACTGCTTGTCACAGATATTCTGGATCTACTACTCCTTTTAAGATTAGCGTTAGATAAAAAAGTGATGTAATACATTTTCAATCCAGATGACTGTTTTAAACGGTCTGCCTTAGCCGTGGAGTGGCCTGCTTGCGTTTATGAAGCTAAGTGGTGGGGTCGAGACTGCCTCCTTGTGTCAACACACTGATCTGGGCTCTGGGGACAGGCAAGCCTGACTTCTAGGATGAACCTTTGGGCTTCAAGAGCATCAGAGGGACTGAGACCATCAGGGAGCTAGCTCCAGTCAGAGATTTTTAGGAGCTCTGACAGGTGAGGTGAAATCTGGTCCCTCTGGATCCCTAGGGATAGGGGGTACAGCCACTGGGCAACACTTGGACGGTGGGAGAGGAGAAAGGAAGAAATTTTGTCCCTGGACTGTGTCCATGATCTGGGGAAGAGAGGACATGGGGACCTCAGGCTCAGTGTGCAAGGAGTGGGAACCCAGCCCTTACCCACCAGGGGCGAATGTCTGTTCCTGTGTTGTGGCACAGTGCCCTGAGACACGTTAGCTCTCTGTGGGCACCATGCGAGGCAAAATGCAGACACAAGGCTGCACCCGCTAACTGTCTGCCTGCACAACACCACCCACCCACCAGATATGCGGGTATCCAGACTACAGCTAAAGCCTCAGATGAAGCTTATGCCTCATGCTGTGGAGGCTGAAGTCAGAGAGAGAGCAGTCATCAGCCTGGCACCTCCCGAGGCCCCTCCCCAGGTTTGCCAATGCCCTCTTTCCTAGCTGCACAGGGGGTCGTTATGTGAGTTTGCGTCCTGATCACGGGGCCAGACGTGCTAACAGCGCCATTCTAGCTAATCACCTCTTGGCAGACCCCGGCAGAGTCACCACCTTCTGAGACCCTGACACTTTGTGTGTGCAGAACGTGCTGAAGCCCCTGCGTGGGATCCAGCAAGGTCAGGTGTGGAGGAACCAGCCAGGGCCTCTGGACTCTGCTGAGGAGTTGGGATGCTATTGGCCAGTGGAGGATGTCAGACAGGAAGCCTGCAGAGTCAGCCTGACCCTTTGAGGACCATCTGTGGGACAAGGGAAGCAATAAGGAAACATCGGGGGTGGGCTCCCTCAAAGGGTAGCACTGATAGTGCGTAACCAAGGTGTTTGATGTCCTCCTCTCCCTGCTCGCTCCCCGCAGGTGTGTGTTTGAGCCTGTGTGTATTTCCCATCAGGTCGCTGAAGGTGCAAAATACTCAATGGGCCTGTATGTCATTGGACGGCTGCTTTCTGACAGGCTCCTCCGTTTTAGCCTGAGGCTACTCCTGGGACATCTTTGTGCCATCCCAAAGCTACACAAGAGCAGGGGGTGGTGGGACAGGCCTAAGCAAAGCTGACTCCGCACGAAGACCAGGGCCATACCACAGGCTGGTGGGGAAGCAGGCTTTCCGGAGCCTTACCAGTCCACAGGAAGGAAGAAAGTCAGGAGTTTATCCCTCACCCCCTTCATTGCCTCCCTTCTTTGCCCTTTCTCCACACTTGGCCCAGACCCTGAGGTCTGCAGGACACGTGGCAGGAAGTGACCCCAGCTGAAAAGGCTGCCTTCCAGAAGCATGCCCTAGGCACGCCTGACGAGAAGACAGCACACAGGACAAAATTCAAGGAATCTGGAGCCGAGAAGCCCTGTAGGACTGTGTTGCTCATTGTATTCATGGCAACTGTGAGGAACACCCAGGAAGGTTAAGAGACATTCTCAGAACAGGGTCAATTTCCTGACTCCTCACCCCAGGCTGAGTCGGAACTCACAGCCTAACTGAAGGAAGCCGCTGAGCTGCCCAGGTTTGCACTGGTCTCAGCGGGGGGAGGAGGGGGACCGCATCCTTACTGTGCCATGCAGGGACTCCCGCTGCGTAGGCTACTGGATTCCCAACACGGGAAGAGCATTCTATTCGTGTCTATGTGTGTTCAAGTGTGCATTGGGGTGGGGGTGGGGGAATATACTTATATGTATGTGTATAGCTTGCCGAAGAATGTTCACAGCAGTGTTATTCATATAACCAAAAATAGGAACCATTTCATGTCCATCAACTGCTAAATGGATAAATAAAATATGAGAAACGCATGCGATGAGATGCTATCCCTCAGTGGGGAGGGGTGAAGCTGAGACACAGATGATCCTTGAGAATCTCACACAAAGAGAAAGAAGCCAGATGGAAGAATCACTTTGCATGGGTTTGTGACTAATATCCAGAATAGAGACAGAGGTGGATCAGTGGTTGCCTGGGAAGTGAGGAGTAATGGGGGTGACTGCTAATGGGAACGGAGTCCTCCCTCCCCTCCTCCCACCCCCTGCCTCTGTGTGTGCGTGTGTGTGTGTGTGTGTGTGTGTGTGTGGTGCACACACACATGTTCAAATGTGGGTATCTGGGAACACATATGCACCTGCATGTGGAAGCCATAGACTGACTTTGAGTGTTCTCTTCCTTAATCTTCTTCATTTACTGATTGGGGTATCTTGCTGAACCCAGAACTTGCTGATTGGATACCTAGCTAGCTAGTACGTCCAGAGCATCTAATTTAGAATGGACTGGTGGTTCCATGGCTGTGCTTATACCAACCATAACCCAATTTGCACTTTAGATAGGCAGATTTCATAGTGGATGAGTTGTGTCTCATAAAACTCTTTAAAAATGATGGGAGGGGTGAGGTCAACCTAAATTGTTTTCTTCAGGTATTGGTTGGTTTTCGTAAACCTGATACAAACAATTTAAAGACAACACAATAACACGCAGCGTCCGGACTCTCTGGGTATTCTTCATCTTTACATGGCTTTATTTTAAACTCTATTTTTTTCTTTTTCTATTTAATTTTTGGCTTTTTTTTTTTTTTTTAAAGAACAGGTTCCTCTGTGTATCTTTGGCTGTCTTGGAACTCACTCTGTAGACCAGGCTGTCCTTGAACTCACAGAGATCTGCCTGCCTGTGTCTCCAGAGTGTTGGGATTAAAGGTGTGCCACTGCACCTGTGAGTGGGGCCACTGCTGGGCAGGTGCCCTGGCTGATAGATGTTGGCAGGCTGAGCAAGCAGTAAGCAGTCTTTATGGTTTCTGCTTCAGTTCCTGCTTCCAGGCCCCTGCCTGGGCTTCCCTCAGTGGACTGCGACCTAGGCTATGTAAGTCAAATAAACCCCTTCCTCCACAAGGTGCTTTTGGTCAGTGGTTATCACAATGCCAGAAACCTAAGGCAGTGCATAACCACATCGCATCTCTCTTCTGACAGGGACTTGTTCCTCTCTGTCAAACACTCTGAAACAACAGAAATTTGGTATCGGTCTTGAAGGTGATGACCTTGGGGACTCAGGGAGCACTGGACAGCCAAAGCACACTTTCCTTGGTATTTCTCACGTGGACACTCTTATCTTTCCTCTCTAGGGCTCTCTCTTTTATTCTTTTTTCAGTTCTCTCTCTCTCTCCACCCTCTTTCTATTTTTATCTCAAGCACATAGTAATTATTGATTCTTTCTAAATACTTCCAAACATAAGGCTTGCCTTGATCAGAAGAGATTCATTGGAAAGCAGCATTCACGTAAACATTTTCTCTCCCTCCTTTAAAACCTGATGAGAACGAACCTTCCGGACAGCATCCTTGCCAATGCTCTTTGGCCAGGCACCTCACTCGATGCCCTCCCTTTGTCTTCAAAACAGCCCTGCTCATGTTGCACACTCAGGAGCTAGGTCCTCTTCTCCACCCCCTCCCCAAGGTAATAACAAGTACTTCTGTGTTCTGGTCCATGGGCTAAAATCTCAGCATTTTATTGATTATCCCACAGCACAATTCTGTGCTCTTATTCATTCAAAGATGTCTCTGTTGTCCTTGGTTTATAGCTATAAACTATCCAGCACAAGTCTTGGTTCCTGATTTGGTTCATTAAATCTTCACAATAGAGTGGTTTTCACTTGCTGAATATTGATGTTCCCTTCAGTGTGTGGCAGGGCCCTGGAACCCACCTAGTGTGGGTGCACACACCAGTACACCTTGTGCCATGCCGTGTCTTGGTGACTAGGGTGGCGGTACCTTCAGGTGGGACATAAAAGCCAAGTGGCTTCTGCCTTCCTTATAGCCCTCACAATGGGAGCTCTGATTTGCGTGGCTGAAGCAGGACTTCCTGGAGCCCGGATGCGGTGAGGATCCCCCAGTCCGTGGAGAGATCCCATAGAAACACACTGAACAGCAGCTGGTTCAGCTCAGCTTTGGCATCTCCCCAGCCAGATCGCCTGCCACAGAACTGTCGAAGGGTCCCAGGTTTTGGCACCCAGCCAGTGGACTTCAGAACTGAGGCTTAGGCATGCTGAGTCAGAGCCCAGCCATCCTCACTCTGACCTTCCAAATTCCTGAGACACAGAATTCATGAGGTCAACAAAGCCGTGATTGTATTAGACACGAAGAATGGGGGGTGCTGGGCAGTATTGGGGGCACTGGGTAAGGACTGCTTCAGTACAGTGTAGATCAAACAATGTGGGTGATTTTGTTAAGCAGGCCAGTAACTGCCCCAGGAGACTGTCATGGTCCAAGTGACTGTCCTCGAAATAGTTCAGATCCATTTGTCCCAAGGAAAAGACCCAGCTTCCTCTAAAGTTATTTGCTTGTATATGTGCCTTTTCATCTGAAGCACATTTATTCTTCAATTATTTATTGAAGACTTTCATTTGTTTCAGACTAGATTTTAGGCGCTTGGGAGCCAAAGCATGTCTCATGTTCTGTGTTCACCATATGGTGTAGCTCTAGTAGAGCCTAGCGCCCTGGCTCCTCCCAGGCCCCTTAGGCTCTGGTCAGAAGGACTCTGGACCTGACTACCTAGTTTGGCCACTCCACTTACTCCTTCTGACCTGAGGAACTCTGCTTGGGGATTCAGGAATTGGACAGAACCCAGAAAGGTCAAGAGGCCTAGGGTTAGGGCAAACTCCTGGCTCCCAACGAAGTCTGACCTTAGCTAGGACCAATGTCTTGGATACTCGTTTTAGGCCAGGAACCAGTTTTTAGTTGATAGATTCCAGGGTTGCTCTGAAGTTCCCGCAAAGTGACAGGAGAAAGGCTTCAGCGCAGATTCGCCATGCAAAAGAAAGCGCCGCGTTACTACCTGCTGTGAGCTCCTCTGAGAAATGGGGATAATAACAATGATTATTCCCTGCCTGGATTGCTGTGATACCCTCCGAGCCAGTCTTCCGACTTCTATTTTTGTGCTTTTAAAAGGCGGCTTCACCCAGCAGCTGGGCAATCTTTCTTAATATGCAAATAAGGCTAAGTCCTCCTGTTTAAAAACCTCCAATAACTTCACACTGGCTTAAGTCTGCAGTGCCGCTCAAGCCTGGAAAGCCCTATGTCATACAGCTCAGTCCGCTAAGCTGCCTTCTGCCCTTTGCCCTCTTGATACCCAGCTTCCTCTCAGTCCTTCAACCTCACCAAGACCTTCACAGCCCCAAGACATTTCCTCCTGCTATCTCTTGCACGGATCTAGATTAGATGCTGACGAGTGTGTGTGTCAGCCCCCCCCCCCAAAGGCTTCCTTACCCATCTTCCTGTGCAGTCTCAATGCACCAGTGCTTGTCACAACCCCACCACAGACACAGTCACCTCGTGATCTTTGCTGTCCACTCTGGTGTGAATCCCGCCAGCAAAGCAGCCACCCCTCAGTAAACATTTGTTGAAGAATGAAGAAATGAATGAGAACGTGGGGGCCCCATGACATGTAGGGGTCACATCTGCTCTATGCCCCACAGAGAAGATGGTGGTGGTGTGGCTGATGAGGCGCTGATGGCAGATATGGGGTTCCACAGGCCTGATACCACCCCCTGTTCTCTGGGCAGGATGTTCCCCATGGACAGAGACACGGCTGAGTGTCTGTGGCTCTCAGCCCTCTGGGGCCCTTAGCGTCATGACTGCCTGGCCCAGATCACTGCTGCAGGGGTACTTCCTCTTCAGATGCTCTCAGGACAACTTTACCATTAGGTCAGAGAGGACTTCAGTAGAGAAGTCACTGGTGGACCAGTCAGTGACACTGCAGAGGTCTGGTGTGAGCGGCCTCCTGCACCAGTTGACCCCAGGCCAGCACTACAGCCTGGGGTCCAGTGAGCAGCAGAGCCAAGCTGCCCTGTAAGGATATCAGAAGCCATGTTGCCGCAGACACCCCTACCAGGGGCCTGGCTCCCCTCACCAGCCCCAAGAACAAAAGCGGGCAGGGAAACCAGCCCAGTCCTAAGACTGTAACTCAGGGGTCAGCTGCATCCCTTCTGTCCATCTGGTCTTTGCTGGCCGGGAGGGCCGAAAAAGAAATGTCTACAAGAGACAGGGCCTTGCTGATACTCTAGGAGGACCATGAGAAGCGGTAGACAGATGGGGAGGCTGAAGGATAGGTTCTGGCTGCTCCTTGTTCCCAGGTGGGGTCTAGCCTCAGTAGGACCGTGAGCATTTGTGGTGGAACCAGCAGCAGGGGCGCCCGGCTTGGTTTGCAAGATCACAGGTACAGATCTTGCTGCAGCTCTTTGCTTTCCTACCAGAGACCAAAGTGTCAGGGGTTTTCCCACAGGAATCCCTTTTCATGTTTATCTGAAGTGGGGTGTGAAAATGGGTAGCTACCTGGGCACAAGGGGAGGAAGGAGGAAGCTGCCTGTTTCCTAGCTACTTGGGGAGCAGGGACAAGAGGTGTCACTGTGCACGTGGCTTCTTTCCCAGGGGTCAACTTGCTCTGCTGGCAGCTGGGACAGGGAGGGCATGGCCTGGCACCTGGAGGCTTTCCCACAGCAGGTAAGCTGTTGGTTTTATCTCGGCTCACTTCTATCAAGAAAACAAGATTTTTTTTTTTTAAATGAAATTAAAGTGGCGGTGGGTGATTGATGGGCCTCTCCAGAAGTAAGCCCCTCTCTATATAACACTGAATAAATCCCAGAGAAAGAAAGCTTTCCCCTCTGGAAGCTGCTACCTCGCCTTCCTGGCCACTCTTAGGACACTGATTCTTAGGGCAATGATTCTCAACCTTCCTAACGCTGCAACCCTTTTATATAGTTAGTTCCTCACGCTGTGGTGACCCCAACCATAAAAATTATTTTCGTTGCCACTGAATAACTGTAATTTTGCTATTGTTACAAATCATAATGTAAATATCTGATATGTGACCCCAGTGAATGGATTGCTCGACCTTAAAGGGTCATGACCCATAGACTGAAAACCACTGCTCTGGATGCTTAGCAAAGTTCCTGGGAGGTGACCTGGAACAAGTAGAACCAAAGAGACTCCCAAAGTTTGTTTGACCTTTTCCAAGTCCTGTCTGGGATCTGACTGAGCGGCAAGCTCTTAGCGGATACATCTCCCCAACTCCCCCATCAGACTCATCCCTCTCTGAAGGTCACAGAACTGCCACCACCTGCAGTCAGCCAAGGACAAATCAGGATCTAGGCTGAAGAAAGTTGAGACTGGTCAGACAGGTTTAGGAGAGAGGCCTAGGCTCTGAGATGGCGTGAGACGTCTCACTCTCTTTCATTGACAAATGCTTACACAGCCACCGAATGTGAGCACGACCCTCCTCAGTCACAGGGGAAGGAACTCGGACCAGAGAAGCACACGCGGGCCCACCATCTGCACCCTGAGCTTCCTTCCACTGACCCGCCTCTGAAGGCCAGGACCCAGCCCAGCCCTGGCCCTTGCATCTGAAATGTTTCCTTGCTCGGCCCCTTCCTGGCCTTAAGAAGCAAGTATGATCACCTGTTTTGAAAACTTCTCTGCTTGTTGGGCTGTCCCTACATCCCCAGGAGATATCAAACCTTTAAATTCGTAATTTACATTTAAATCTTTAAATTTAAAGAAAAACCTTTAAATGAGGGCTCTGACCCCTATCCAGGTTAGGATATGCCAGAGGGAGTTAGCAGCACGTGGGCTCAGAGATCAGGAGACCCTGGGGAAAACAGCTGCATGACCTGAAGTACGGGTACCGTTCGCATGCATGGTTTAACACTGAGGGCTTTGTGGGTGCGCAGCCGTAACCCTGTTACTCTGCGACATTTTAAACATTTAGTAAGTGGCTTCATGCTGCATTTGTCTTTTTATATCAGCTTCCTTACTTAAAATTGCATGTTTTGCTATCTATTTTTGTCAGTGTAGTCTGTTTGAATTCATTATAATGCCACATACTTAATTTAAATTTTTCTAATATCTAGTCAGTGAGGTATTTCAGCAGATAAAGGTGGTTGAGTCCTATTGCTAAGGACCACATGGTAGAAGGAGAGTACTGAAGCCTGTAGGTTGTGTTCTGACCTCCATACTGTGTGCACACACACACGCACATACACACATACTAAATAAATGCAGTGAAAAGTCTAAGCCTGTTTTCCAGCGTCCGTATTTAGGGGAACAGCCTGATGGTTTGATGCATTTATTTTCATCTTCATAAGTGTAGTGCAGTGAGTGCTGGGGTCTAGGAAAGGAGCAGGCCGTTCAGCCCTCTTCCTTCTCTGTACGTGTGGTCACATCCCCTAAAGTCAGTACCCCAAGCCTTCTGTGTACAGCGCCCTCCCGTTATCGCCAGGCTCAGGTGTGCTGAGTCAACTTATCCCACCTCGTGCAACTTTGGGCCCTTTCTCTGAGCTACATCTTCTCCTTTGCCCTTACGCCCTAAAATATTGTGAATGAGATGGTCTGTGTTTTTAGTTTCACAGTAAGTCTTCCTGACTCAGTAGGAATATTACTCCCATGGCACACCCCAGGTTTCACCAGCCCACACTCAAATTCACCGCAGTCTTAGGATCGTGTGGTCTCTCACTGGGCTCAGTCCTGTGAAGCTTTCCCTTGGCCAAATCCACCAAAATCTGTATCAAGGCAATACATACATATATACATATAGACAGACAGACAGAAATAAAAGATGAAGTGCCAAGATTGAAGAGGTAATTCTTACTACAGAATTCTCTCAGTGGCATCAATGAGTCCCCAGGAAGATGTGACAGGCATTGGATGAAGATAATCACATGAATTGTCCTGATATGCCAGAAAATACAGAACAAACTAAAGCGGTTGGACCGAGTGATTTAGTCAGAAAAGCAATCATGTTATGCCATGTACAATTTTCACAATACCTGAGGATTTTTTTCTTTGCTTTGCTTTGCTTGTTTTTCAAGACAGTGTTTCTTAGTAACTGTGGAGCCTGTCCTGGAACTCACTCTGTAGACCAGGCTGGCCTCGAACTCACAGAGATCCGCCTGCCTCTGCCTCCCGAGTGCTAGAATTGAAGGCATGTGCCATCACCACTCAGCTAACTGGTTTTTTTTTAAATATTTATTTTTACATATGTGTATATGTGAGTGTAGGCTTACATGTGTGTAAGTGCCCTAGGCTCCAGAACAGGCAGGTTGGATGCCCTGTAAGATGGAGTTACATGCAGGTGTAGGCCACCCGAAATGGGTGCTGGGAACCAAGCCCTCTGGAGAGCAACACACGCTCTAAAGCGCTCCCTCTCCAGCTTCCAAAGGTTGTTTGTTTGTTTTTGTAATTTCTGACTTCTGAGAAGGGCAATGGATTAATCCCTTTTCTCCTCCGGTAACTCAGCAGAAACCATTCAGCCTTCAAGGGAGGGGTCTCATTAGAGGCCCAGAGGTGCAGGAGAGATGAAGCGCCACTACACAGTCGCCCATCTTGGGTTTCCAGACTGCTGCCTACTCGACAAGCCTGTGCCCCTCTGCTCTTTCCCAGACCCCTCATTTTGAGATGCTTCTTGTCACTTAGTAGACTCCTGGACCGAATGCAGGCCTCTCACAGTCAGAAAACCCACAATTCCTTTGTGGGAATGTTGTCATAGCTTCTCAACCTGCGCACTGCAAGTCAGAATCCCTAAACCCCACCCCACCCCGCCCTATCCCCCACCCACCTACCAGGAGTCCGCTGGGAGCTTCCTCCTGGGTCTGTCTCCAGATCTTGGATCTCCATGGAGCAAAATCCTAAACAAAATACACTTTGTTCCCACCGGAGGATATTTCTACAAGGTGGTCCCACAGCTGGCTCTACATAGTGTGAGTTCCAGAACATACAGAGAGACCCTGTCTCATACATAAATAAATAAATATCTTTAAATGCGGCATGAATGCTGTCACAGCCCAGCCCAAGTTCAGTGTCTACAGTTGTCTACAGAATTGAAAGCTTCTCAACGCCCCCAAACAGCTGCATCCTCCAGTCTCCCGCACTGGGTGCTTCCAGGCGAGGCTCTGTAGCCTGAGCTCGCAGGGCCTAGGTTCCCGTAGCAGAGAGGAGTATCAGTCACATGTGGACATTAAGTGCACGCAGCCTAGGAAGGCAAATCCCACAAATGGGATGGGCCCGTTTCAGTGCTACAATAGGTTACCGTGTGGCCTGGGCCAGACCTAGGATATGGCCATGACATCTGCCCAGGGAGAGTTTGTTTTTGTTTTTGTTTTTAATATTTATTAATTTTATTATGTATACAATATTCTGTCTGTATGTATGCCTGCAGGCCAGAAGAGGGCACCAGACCTCATTACAGATGGTTGTGAGCCACCATGTGGTTGCTGGGAATTGAACTCAGGACCTTTGGAAGAGCAGGCAATGATCTTAACCACTGAGCCATCTCTCCAGCCCCCCAGGGAGAGTTTTGAAGATTTGTTGCCTTTTCGGTCTGTCTCTCCTTGCTCAGATCATCTCTACCCAGCCATCACTGCTGTTGGGTTTAACCAGAACAGAAGCCAGCAGCTACGGATGCTAACTAGAACCAGCAAGCATGGCTGGAGGTCCCCAAGGGAGCTGCCGGAGCCCTAGGCTGGCTGACCGCATCTTTGGCAAGAGTCAACACTGGGCTTTGCTTCCCCTCTGATCTGCCAGCCTGTGTTCCTGGCTGGGTCAGGCAGTGGAGCCAAGACAAACACTGTGTATGAGCTCACTGGCCTGGGCCCAAAGCTCAGATGTGCAATCTGAAATGCAGGGTTCGGATCAGGGTCCTAACTGGGAAAAAATAAGCATGAAATCTTGAAACAAAAAAACAACATCAGCCCGAACCACTTCAGAGGTTACTTAAAGTTGTTCAGCTCCAAATGTTGCTAATGGTGAAAGCAAGATTTAAATGCCCCCCCTGCCCCCCCCCCCCGGGAGAGATAGAGAAGCGGGGAGATTCCCAGAAAGGGATGAGGAGGTTGGAGCCTGTATAGTACGTTAACATTTTAAGAAGATAAAAGGTAAAATTCAGGCCAGGGGACTGCGGTGACCTGTGACCAGAGAACTTGGAGTCCACAGCCCCCTCCCTCGGCAGCTCCAGGACTCAGTTTCCCCTCAGCTACTGCCTGTGCTGTCTCTCTCTGTGTCGCACAGGGCAATGTGAAGATGGAGGGCCTGTGCTACAGAGAAAGGACGGGGTGGGGGAACGTGGGGAGGACTATGTGGTAAACAAGGACAGCAAAGCCAGTTGTCCCCAAAAAGGTGGCCCATAAAAACCAGCAGGCCAGTCCAAGGTACCAAAGTCCCTGATGTCAGGGAGGTGGTCACATCCTTGCTTCACTGTGTACCTTTCCAGACTAGGGAGGCAGTAGCCGTGGGTGCAGATGTCAGGGCCAGAGAGACGACCATGAGTTCCAGAGAGTTCATGGGGCGAGCGAGCCAAAGAGCTGCAGGAGTTTGGCTCTCAATCTGCTGGTAAATATGCTAATCACACACAGGTCTTTGCCTGTTCTCAGGGACTTAGTATCTGAGAGATGGGCAACTTCCTAAGTGGCTGCAATAAACATCACTGAGCTCGAACACGAGAGGTGTAAGCCACTCTCACACACAGAACAGACTATCTCTGGGGAGCCAGAAGGAATGGCGCTGATTTGAGGAGAAGCATGGTCTTCATTCTGGAAACACCGAGTTCCAGGGCCTCTGTGGAGACCAATTATCATGTGCAGAAGATAGTAATGGCTCAATCAGCTACAGCAATCCAGACTCCAGAAAGGAGCTGGGCACAGTGAAATAGCCCTGTAATCCCAGCACTGAGAAATCTGAGATAGGAAGATCTCAAGTTCAAAGCCAACCTGGGCTACACGGTAAGATCTTATCCCCAAATAATAACAACAACTACTTTGATATATATCTGGTTCAGATGGAATTACCCCCATCTGTGCTTTATTTCCCTCACAATGGTGTAATTATGGATACCTTCAGAGACCCCGAGTTTGGTTAAACCCAGACATATGAAGCACCTTTGTGTCCAGGAACCAAAGGCTACTACACAGGCTGCTACGCATCTTTTAACTTTTAGTCCTAAATTTGAAGCTTTACTGACTGGTGCCCGCATCCTCTGCGGCTCAGTGCAGCCCCAGAGCCCACTCAGACCCGCTGAGAAACACGAGGCCAGAGGAGGCCGAGCAGGTATTCTACTCCCAGGCAGTTACCCAGACAGCTGGAGCCAATGCTCAGCTGCAGTCTCATTCCGGAGGCTCGCTCTGCCCCGCAGACGTCCCTGGGAATAACATCCTACAAGCAGACAGCTTTCCCAACTGGCTCTTTCCAAATTGCATTTGAAGTAGATCTGGGCCCAAAAGGGGATCCCCAAGCTCTTCACTGCGAAAAGCTTACATGATGCATTTCCACGAGCACTTACGCAAAGATGACGGGCTCGTAAACACTAATGAGATGTCTGGCTGCTGTCCAAGTGTATCCGCGGAAGACCATTTTCTCATCCCAGGGTTCTGAGATTAGTAAATTGCATGAGCAGCTACCAGGAAGCAGCTGTTAAGTGCTGTTACAGTCATTCTATTTCACGCAGACCTTTAAACATTTCCTCTTTAACCCTTAAGAAACGCATTTCTAGGGCCCACGAGATAGCTCAATGGTTAAGAGCGCTTGTTGCTAAGCCTGGTCACCTACTTGATCCTGAGATCCATGTGATGTAAAATCTTGCAAGTTGACCTCTGAACTCTACACATGCACCAAGGAGCACACACAAAATAATTTTTTTTAATATAAGGAATACATTTCTGTAACTCAGTGTTCTTGCTCAAACCTCAAGCAGAAGGTTGAACGTGACATGAGTTCACTCATTCTCCACATCATTACTGAACCCCTTATGTGTGTCAGGAGCCCAGTCAGAGGCTGAGGGCTTACCAATAAATAAGCACACAGCCCCTACCCTGGAGGTGAAGGAGACCCGAGGACAAAGTATGGTCACAGCCACCTGCAGGTGGAGCCGTTCCCCTCACAGCACGGCCACACTACAGATCCCAGCTGCGTGGCACATGAGGACAGACAGCCCTCGCCCAGAACTTTGGAAAGGTTTCAAACAGGCAACAGCAGATAACACCCCAGCCTGAGCCCTCCTGCCCCTCCTGCCCGCCCTCCTTGGCACTGGTCAGGTTCTCAGAGCCCGCATTCCCTAATCAGCTTCTCCAGACTCTACAGTTCAATGAATATAGGAAGAGGAGGGCAGCGTGCAGCAAGGATGGGCCTGCAGTAATCCCCAAATGAATCAGAGCAGGGGTTCACACGTTGTCTTCTGTTGCGAGGTTCAGCGGTAGACAATGCCTTCAAGGTCTGTGGGGGTCCCTGAAGACCTCCCTCACGGGCCCTTTTTCCTCCTGGTGCTGCTTTCCACACCCAACCCTGGGTCTCGGAACCAATCATCTGTCCGGAAGAGTCCTTCACCCCTTCCTCACCTGTTTGTCACTGCGAGATGGCGGCCCAAACCTCCTGCCTAGTAGGAGGGAGAATGTGGTCAGAAAGAAACTCTGGCCAAGCCGTGGTTTACAAATGCTACCAACCACAAGCCATTTGTGGGTTCACAGATGACATGGGCAGAGTCCCCGGGAAAAGTCCTCAGCCAGCAGATGTGGCTCACTCGTCTGGACTGATGACAGACCTAGGACCCACTCGGTTCCATTGCCCCTCAAAGCTGAGAAAGTGTGGCACTCCCTCCTTTCAAGGCCAGGCTGCTGCCTGCAGCTGTGGTAGCCTGACCCCCTGATTTACCACAGTTGCCAGTGGGTACCTCTGCTACCAGGTTCATCCCATAGAGGGAGACTCTGAGGCGGAGGGGGTGGGGGGACCCATCAGCTGGTCACCAATAGAGTGATGAGGATAGATACACTTGTATCTGCTTTTCATTGAGTCCAGAACAAGCAGAGCGGGTCCCAGTCAGCCTGCTTTGCCTTCCATAAACGCTGAGGGTACTTAAAAAGATGTAAGAAACCAAACCAAACTTTCCAGCATGATCCAAGCGAGTCCCTGTTGGCCTTTGTGAGGATGCGTGCATACACGGAACTGAGACATCTCCTGCCTGTGGCCTACCACACATCATTGTGACCCTCTCTCTCCTTTCCACGTAGGCCCCGCCCCTCCCGCTCATAGCAGATACCCTGGTGGCTCTGGACACTCTGGGCATGGTGCTCACATTCAGAGTCCTGGGTCTCCACAGGTGTCTTAGTTCTTTCTTCCCTCCTCTCTAGGGTCCCTTCTCCTGGCTAGAACTGCAGCCCTGGGATTTCTGTGCCCTCATCAGAACAGCATCGCTGATGAAAACGTGAAGTGGAGTAAGACAGGTATGGGCTGGAGTTTGAACCAGCGACAGAGAGCTCAGAGGCTATACAGAACCAAGTGCACTCAGCAGAGGGTTCCCACCAGGACTTCCAGGAGGGAGGACCTGGAACAAGGGGCAGAGGAGCCAGGGAAGGTGTGAGCAGGAGCATAAACCTGGGGTTTCTATGGACACATCAGGGGAAGCAGAGCAAATGGCTTAGAGGGCTATCTCCAGACCCCAGGCAGGATGGCAAGAGCCAGAGCCCAGAGCGTGAGAAGATGTGGAGGGGGCCTGCCCTGGATTGGCTGTTCGCATAAGGAGAGTATTCTAAAGCTACTGTTGTTCCTCGGGGTCAGTTAGGCCTAGATGAGGACAGAATAGAAGAAATGGTTCCTGAGGCTTTTTGGGTGACGATCTGTCCCTTCCCTTGCCCTGGGGGCTCAGAGCCTGGGAAGAAGAAGGGAACCTCAACTCCTCCTCTGGCCCAGGCCCTGTCTGCTTCCCCCTTCTTCCTTTCTTAGCTGATCCCAGGGCCTGCTGGTGTTGCTCAGCTGTCCTTGATTTTCCCATACTCCTCAGTGCTCTTCCTGGTCCCTGGTGCTCTTCAGGGGTCATCTTCCCACTGGTCAGGCGAAACAGCACTAGACACTTCCTCACCTCCCCATACCCTACACCCCCACACCCCACTCTTTACCCCGCATCTCAAGCCCATCTTTACCCCCACACCCGTGCAGCCAACACACATACACCCCTATTTATTTACCATTTGTGCCGTACCCCTGTCTCTAACTCCCATCCACACCCTCATACCCCTCATATACACCCCACCTGGTCCTGGACCCCATTCTCACTCCAACCAGGCCCTCATGTACCACCCAGGGGCAGGAGGGGCTGGGCATTTGGACTCTGTCCTGAAGACCTAGAGAGCAAAGGGTCCCGGTACTTCATGCTGCTTAGAGAAGAGATCAGCTCTCTGAACTTCCCCTAGAGAACTACACAGATAATAAACAGACTGAAGCCAATTGAAACAGGAAGGAAGAGCTGGCTCCAACCCAATGACAACCAGGAAAGATGTCCTGACTGGAAACCACTGGCTATTTCTCCCTCCTGCCCGCAGTTAGGGGAAAGGAAGGTTGCAGCTGGCCACCCGATCTCCACAGCAGAACTGCCCTGGGCAGGCGGGTTATCATTGGATTCTGTTCTGGATGCTGGGTTGCAGAAAGGGCCCCACTGCCTTGGTTCACTGGGGGTTTTAGAGGGATGATTGGGCAGCTCTAGGACAGGATCTCCTGTTAGGAGGAGCAGTGGGGATGACTGGGCAGCTCAAGGACAGGATCTTCTGTCTGTCCCAGGGCTGTCATAATTACCCCCAGCTCCTGGGGAAATCATTTTAAAATTTATTATGAGTTGCCCAGATGCCAGATAGTGGGGACAGATGTGTGATCTCCATGTACCTGAGAAGCAAGCAAAGATTTGGGTTAGCCTGGCCAGACCTCACAGAGGCTGAAGTTCTGGGATTTGAACCAAATGCAGAGAGCTCATAGCGTGTGTGTGTGTGTGTGTGTGTGTGTGTGTGTGTGTGTGCTGTATAATATATTACATTATACATGTGTGTTGAGTTTGGATGCACAAGCATCATCTAACAGATTCCTGCTTCATCCAGAACATGAACTTTTTCTTCCAAGGATGTCAACCATCTGGAGGGAGCCACCCATAGCATGAGGCTCAGGGGTTGTCTGCACCCAAACTCTACTGATTTAAATGACAATCGGATAGAAGTACCTTCCTGGATGCAGCTATAGAGGCTTGGCCAACCATCTGGAGTTGGAGGCCAGCAAGGGGCTACGCACTACAGCCATAGCCTCACTGAGAGCCTCACATGACCTAAGTGTGAATCCTGTGCCCTGCTGAGAGTGCACAGATTGGGGAGCCAGAACAGGACAGCGGAATGCGTTCCCCAGTGCTGAGTGACGGCGCACCCAGCACCCACTGCTGTCTGTTAAATCACAGATCAGAGAGTATCAAATTCACTGTATTTTTCTTGTCTCTAGGTACCCCAAAGAGAAAACACACAAAGAAAAAAGAAAACAGGCCCAAGGCTAAAGCCCAGGGTTCAGAAGTAGGTGTGGTGTCTGTGCCCCAAGGCCCCGAAGGCTAACTGGGAGGGAGGATGAATCTCTTCAGCCCAGATAGCTCAAGTATGTAGTTTTCCAAGATGGATTATCAGGATCAGATGGTGGCATCTGCGGAGCTTGAAGTCCTGCTGACAAGTTCTCTGTGTGGGAAATAGTATTCACCATCAGGCCCCTGTGAGCAAGAAAGGCGTGGAGTACCAGCATAAGCCAGCTGAAGGCTGCAGGCGATGTTCGGCTAAAAAAACTGAATGGAGCAAAAAGATCAAGGTCTAAGATTTTCCCAGCCAAGCCCAAAGGCCTATGTTGATTCCCCTGCGACCTAGGAAACAAAGCTCTTCCATCTAGGTGGTCCCTCGAGGACTGTGCCTACCTTGGTCTGGGCTTTTTAACCTCTGGCCCAAGGGAAATAAATAAATAAATAAATAAATAAATAAATAAATAAATAAACCTGATGCTGAGCCAGTGTTTCCTGTTCCTATGTTAAGAGAGAAAGAAGATGTGGTTTGGCTCCCCAACAAGGAAACTGAAGCCCCATAATACCATTAAGGCGCTTGTTTCCCTGGAAGGACAGTGGGATGGGGAACCCAGGGGGCAGGGAGGAGAGAAGCGTGGGAAGAAGTCCCTGTTGCCGACCTTGGTAGGAAAGGGTGTGTACAGGAAAGAAGCCCGGGACAGACACTGGGGAACTGTCAGTGGGCAGGTAGTAGGGATGAGCAGAATCAGGAAGGAAAGCAGCCCAAGAGCAGCATGGGGAGAGTAAGGAAGTTCCGGGGTCCAGGCCACCGTCTGAGGACTCAGCTCTGTCCTTTTTGGTGCCGCTCAAATTCTAAGTGCGTGAAAAGATTTTGTTTCTTCCCAAATGTTGATTCTGATTTTGAAATCTTTCTAATAAGACATTAAACTACATTAGCGTAGAAGACACGGATTGCTCCCCAAGTGGCAGCTTTCAAAACCGCACCCCACATGGTCTGTGCTCTGTTGTTCTGAAAATGGGTGTTGGGTGGATGGGAGTTGCCTTAGCTATGGGAGGCTATGCCCCTTCCCACAATGCCCAATCTTTATGCTTTGTGTGTCTACTCCCAAACAGCAGTCTTGAGACAGGAGGACCAAGTGAGTTCTCTCCTTTGCCGATGCACCATAGAAATCCCTGAACCCACACCGAGCAAGGAATCCTCACCAGCTAAGCCTGTTGCCGCGCGGAACAGTGGCCGTTCCACTGGGTGACAGCCAGCGAGAGCAGAGGAAGGGCGGTAAAGCGGGGTAGGCCGTCCACACCTGCTGGTTAAGAGCCGCCTTTGGATTTGGCAAGGATTTCTTGGATATGACACCAAGCACACAAGCAACAGAAGCAAACATAGACAAACCTGAAAGCTCTGAAGGAGTCAATAGCAAAAAGACAGCCCGTGGAAAGGCGAAGAAGAAGAAGAAGAAGAAGAAGAAGAAGAAGAAGAAGAAGAAGAAGAAGAAGAAGAAGAAGAAGAAGAAGAAGAAGAAGAAGAAGAAGAAGAAGAAGAAGAAGAAGAAGAAGAAGAAGAAGAAGAAGAAGAAGAAGAAGAAGAAGAAGAAGAAATCCTAACCACATGCCTGAGAAAGGGTTAAAAACTCCCACTGCCAAGGGGGCTCTAATAGGGCTGGCTCCACACTGCCACCTGCAGCCGCAGCTTGGGGAGTTCAGTTGGGAGACCTTGGCTCAGGTGAACCGGCAAGAAAGATTATGAAGCACACTTGGAGTTGATGAAGAAGAGGGTTAACTTAGATTTAAGCTGGCGCAGGTGGGGGTGGGTGTAATACAGAGGAATTCGGAGAAAGGCTTGCACACCCCCAAGCCTGAGTCATGGGCTCCCCCAGAGAGCTGAACTTGAGTGTCCTTACAATAACCAAGTAGAGGCTTTTGGTGGCTTCTGAAGTTACTTTTCAAAAGGTGGTTGTGATGGTTTAATTGTAATGTAATTGGCCCTTATAATCTCAGAGGGAGCAGCACTATTAGGAGGTGTGGCTTTGTTGGAGTAGGAAGTGTGTGTCACTGTGGGGGCAGGCTTTGAGGTTTCCTATGCTCAGGATACAGCTTCAACTTTTTTTTTTTTTGATTGCAGGTTCTTTCTGGGGATCAGACTTGAGTCTCATGCTTGCCTGGCAAGCACATTGGCCAGAGGAGCCATTTCCCCGGTTCCTTGGTGATTTAAATACAAGTCCCTGCCACTTCTGTAAGGTTAGCATGGAGCAGGGGCTGTTCACTACTCCTGCCTCTGTCTTTGTGCTCTGGAAGCTGCTTGTCTTTGTGATTGTTGGAGCTGATTTTGGAGTTTATTTATGCCATGGGCAAAAATAATTCTCCTAGGAGACACAGCCTAGCTCCTTAATCTCTTAAGAGGAAAGAGTCAAAGGACAGGATGGGCCTCCACCGTACACGTGTGTCCTGTTCCTGCAACCCACTGTCCCAGGTCTGAGGGAAAGACAAGCAAGGGACCATCAGGGAGGTGCAGGCTGCTTTTCCTAAAACCAAGTCTGGGTTGAGAGTCTGAGTGAGATCAGATCTACCCGACTGTCATTGTCCCAGCTTTCTGGAGAGTCGCTTTCTGATATCAGTAACCCCAGAGACTGTTTAAGACAATGTAAGAGGGATATGGGTCCAGGGATCGCCAATCCCTAGCTTCCTCTTCCTCCTTGGTACTCCACAGCACAGCCTGAATCCAGAAAGAATGACCAATCTGTGTGGCTATCAGCACTGCTATGACACTGTGCCCCTGTGATCAGCTCCCTCCAGAGATGACCCTGACCTCCGGGATCTGACCCCCATCTTCAGTTTCTACACTAGATCCTGCCTGGTCCAGAAGACCAAATGCGTGGAGCCCTATACCTGGCCTTGGCAGCTGTAGTAGCCAAAACAGCCATGTTTCCCCCTGCAGAGCCAAAGAGAACCCTGCTCCTTCCTCCCACTCCCTTCTGCACACATGAAAAATCATTCCAATTCTCTTGGTGTCTCCAATAACACCCTCCTGTGTTCCTCAGACCCCTTGCCAGTTGGCAAAGTCAGCTCAGGTTTTGTCTTGTGCCTCCTGGGAGGGTGACACAGGGATGCCATTACTATTTCAGGACTTCTGCTACACATTGGGTACAGGTAAAGAAGCTGCCACTGGCCCAGATCCCAAATTCATAAGAATCCAAATAGCAGTAGCAAAGTAGGGGATGTTGATGAACACAAAAGCAAAGCAATTAGGAGGTGGTTGTCTAGCAAAAACACACAGCAAGCAGGGTAGGAGAGGGCACCCAGGCAAGGCCATTCTGATGACAGTCACTAGGAAAGGAACCGGGCATAGTTAAGGGGTCAAGTCTGGGGCTAGCGGTACTACCTCATGGTTCTAGAGAGAAACCATGAGATTCCCAGTCTGGTCTCATTCTCTCGTCATCTCCCTCACAGAGATGCAGAGACAGCCTGGAGTGGAGCCATACCTCAGACACCAAGGCAAAGGCTTGTTGAGCACCTGCGGATTTCCTGTGGGGCTGTGGATTCTGTAACAGAGTAGGATGTGGTGAAAAACGCCTCTGACAGCCTCCACAGGGTTGCGGCTTCTCGAATGGAGTGGGACTCTCCGGAGGAAATCCACACTTCCAGCCTGCTGAGGGCTCACAGCCTCCCACGCATCTGTCCCTTCTCACCAGACTCACCTGCAGTAGTAGCTGAGGGCTCCTCCCCTATCACAGATGGCATCTGGCTCATTTATGGCCTCACTTGGTCTCACTGTCACTAGAGTCTCGGCCTTCCCTGCCCACACTCATGCCCACACTCCTGCTCATGGGCACTGATGTTGAGCAAGCAGGCCCTGACTCTGGCTCTCCTAGCTTAGAGCATACTTTGTAAGCCCAGCCCTTCCAGAGCCTTCTTTTTTTTTTTTTTTTTTTTTTTTTTTTTTTTGGTTTTTCGAGACAGGGTTTCTCTGTAGCTTTGGTGCCTGTCCCGGAACTAGCTCTTGTAGACCAGGCTGGCCTCGAACTCCGAGAGATCCGCCTGCCTCTGCCTCCCGAGTGCTGAGATTAAAGGCGTGCGCCACCACTGCCTGTCGTGAGCCTTCATTTCTTTACCTGTGGAGTCAGCATGACATCCTCTGTCCTTGTCCCCAGGAGATCTGGACTAGGGTGGGTATGCCAGCACCCACGTCCTCACTCCAGATGGAGCCCCAAGCCTGGCTATGATGCATGGGGTCATTACAGTGTCCCACAGGACAGTTCACTCTCTCTCGGGGCTGCCTTAGGATCTGAAGTTCCGGGAAGAGCTCACATCTGTCTGCTCCCCTGGTGTTGCCATAATCGGACTCACAGCAGAAAGGCTCTTGGTTTGAGGAGAGGCAAGTAGACTGTGGTCCCTACTCTTTGTCCTTGGTCACTAGACTCTGTCTCCACAGGCATAGCCTGACACGGCAGGACAGGCTTCTTGGGACACTGCCATACTGGTGCCCACAGGGAGCTAGGACCTCCCACGTCTATCATCAATCAAGAAAATGCAGTCTTGCCTTTTCCCATGGGGGCATTTTCTCAGTCAAGGTTCCCATTTCCCAAATGGCTAGCTTATGTCAAGTTGACATAAAACTAATCATCACACCGTGGTATAAGAACCCAAGAGGGGGCTGGAGAGATGGCTCAGCGGTTGAGAGCACTGACTTTTCTTACACAGGTTTCAAGTTCAATTTCCAGCAATGCACATGTTGGCTCACAGCCATTTATAATGAGTTCTGGCGCCCTCTTCTGGCCTGCAAACATACATACAGACAAAACACTATATAATGAATGAATGAATGACTAAATAAATAAATAAATAAATAAGTCTGTGCCGGTAGGTGGTGGTGCACGCCTTTAATCCCAACACTCTGGAGGTAGAGGCAGGTGTATCTCTGTGAGTTCGAGGCCAGCCTGGTTTACAGAGTGAGAGAAACCCCTGTCTCAAAAGGAAAAACAAAAACAAAAAACCAGGAGGATATTTTAAAACTTAGACCTAAAAGATAAACCTGTACTGGTGAATATCATCTCAGCCCCA